CAACAATCTTGTTTTTCAAAAACAACATTGTTTATGCCCAGTTTGTTTAAACAGGCTGATAAAGCTATACCGGATGGTCCAGCTCCAACCACAATAATGTCAATTTCTTCCTTTGTAAAATAAACCATTGCAAAATTTTCAGAAAATTAAAGAGAAGTTTTTTTTTAGAATGTTGAAAAGAAAAATGCAATAAGATTTCAAGAAAGGAAATTTAGACTATGAGGTATGTATATATGGTCTTCAAACAGGATAAAGATGATACTTATTATTTTTTTTCCTTTTTTAAAGTGTAATAGAAAACAACAGTTACAAGTCAATGCAAATTTTTTATCATTGAAATAAAATCTGAGTTTTTTCTCAATTCTTTGGTAGATGTGAAAACATTTAATTGAAAGTTATATTTAGCTTAAGCTAAAACATGTCATATTCATTTTTCTATAAATGAACTTTGCTGTTTCAAAAAGAGACAAATTACAAAAAATTAATTTAATTTGACTGAAGTTTATTAATCGGCTAAAGTCAAAGTATATATTATTTTGTCTTTTTATATTTGTCTTAGATTTTCAGATAAACACTCAACTAATTAAATTATTTTATATGAGAAAATTATTTTCTTAGTTTAAAAAAATTAGAATTAACTAGAAAGTTGATTTTCTGATATATTAAATAGGAAAAAAAGCTTAAATATGGCACTGAATTTTGAGAAAAGGCTCATCTATGCCATTAATTTGAGCTATTTCTCAAACGGAAATGACATATGTCACTCCCCGAGGCTACCCCCATGACGTAAACACATGACCTAGGATCACGAGTGACCCCAAGCTAACCCTGAGCTGGCATATCATAACATACTAAGATAAAGTGAAATAAGAAATACTGTGCGGAAGCCTTCAGTCATGCGATAAGCTAAAATGATGGGGAAATACCCAATCTAAATGTGAAAATAAAAACTATGAGTTTAATAACAATTGGAAGATCAAACTCAAAACCAAAACTTAATCTAACTATGTCTGAATAAAAGCCTCTAACTGACTATAGATGTGGGAATATGCCCTCAGCTAACTCTAGCAAAACTGAAATTGAAAGACTGAAAGTAAAAGAAAACATGTTTATCGTCCTTGGAGAATGAGGACTCACCACTAATAATGCTGAGTACGGATCATGAACCGATCTACACGCGATTTGAATGTTGTGGGCCTGAACCTACATCACGAGAAGATGAAGCACAGAGTATGCATCAGTACATGAAAGGTATTGAGCATACATGATGGGATAAAACTGAACAATATATACCTAACTGAATAAAGCATACTGATCAATGATATAAAATGAACATGAAGACTATACTGAACATACTGAACATGAACTAAACTGAATGCAATGACCAAGTTCATAATATATTGAAACTGAATACTAAAATATAATTGGTAACCTGGTCAATGTACTAGAATCTGATGGTGAGAGATACTATTAATCGACATAAAACCACATGAGCTAAACGTGGAATCCGATGTATACGCCCCATCGAGAGGACCCAATATACCTTGCCAGGGGTATAAAGGTATGACTGGCATTATCACTAAATATAATGCCCACAAAGGGGACTTAACCTCTGGGGGCACGTAGTTCTGGAACTATGAGGGTGACTGACCCTAGTCCAACACGGTATTAAGCCTACTCCCGACAAGAATATGTACAATACAACACAACTGAAATAAACTGGATAACTCAAGATTCTGACATGCTAACTGAAAATGCAACATTAAGTATTGTTAATGAAACATTTGAAAAACTGATGCATGTATATCTGTATAAACTGACCTAGCTAGTGTAATTCATGAACTAAATGAATCTACACAACTAGGGCTCTGAATTTCATGCTAAAATTAAGCAACTTGGTTAGAAAATGTAATTTTCTAAATAGGATTAGTTTAACAGCTAAATCACAGCAATTATCTGGCGTTCTAGAAACCCTAAGTCTATACAATATGAAGAGAATTAAGAATCTGATTGAATTCTAGGGACCTAATGGGTGAAAGAAACCAACTAGTGAAATCCCACATACCTAGTGACGAAATCCACGGAGAAATCCTTCGATTTCGGGCTGAAACTTGAAAGAAACCTGCTGGTTGTTCAAAGGAAAACTGGTGCCTCTTTCTTCTTCTTTTGTTCTAGTGAAATGTGCATAATATGCTATCATCTGTTTCCTCTAAGAAGGCTATTGTAAGCACAACAAAAGGCCCAATTTGTTACAGTATTCTTACAACAACAAGTTTGCATTGCTTCAACTTATTAAACACCAAAAGTAAGAGAAATTTACTTTATGTACTTTTGCAGACTTGAAGTAACTTCTTGGTATAATTTAATGAAATTTATTTTTCCTTATCCAAAGAAAAATGAGAAAGAAAAAGATGGTATGGTGCACCTTTTGCAAAGCACCCTCTTCTACAAGCGGATAACTGTGTTACTCTTATAAACTTCTTGTTGCTTTATGTAACCCTTTTTTTCCAGAAAAAAACAAAAGACCATGCTTTTTAGAAAGGCCATAGCTTATTAACTTCATCTCAATATCCCCTCTCATGGCCTTAGATTATTTAGAATGACTTTCAATATTTCTGAATGACTTTTTGCTTATTTGTTTTGTATATGATATTTTATTTCTAGAGGGCTATTAATGTAGTTGTTTAGTTAATAATATGTTTTTTTTTCATTTGGGGTCATGTGAACTTCGAAGACACGAAATCTTCCAATACTACCGCCATTTTCAACCATATTAGAAGGTAACTATGAACCTTTACTTTTTCATTATTCGAACACCTTTCGGTAGGGATGTAATAATTTTAGTATCAGTACAGAGAGTTGTGAAGTACTGTAGTAGAAAACAAAAATTCCCTGGAATCAGGATTATGATAGAAATAGTTATTCTGAAGAAATATATAGGACCCTAAGCATCAGAAGTGGATGTGTATGAAAAATCATTAATTTTTGAGGTTGTAAATGCACTGATACATACTCATAATTCTTTTTTCTTATACATAACTTGGCAGTTCTGGTTTTAGCACTTGTTTCCTTGTTGAGTTTTGACACTTTTCTCTTTGCTTTAGTTTTTTCATGAGAATTTTTGTTTCGAGTAGCTCGGTAATATTTCTTGGCTTTTAAATGTTCTAGATGGCACTGATCCAGATGTGGTGGCAAAGTCAGTGCATAAGTTTGTGAACTATGGGCAGAGAAAGAAAGAGTCAGGGGCTGAGTTGATAGTTACCTTGTTACTCAAGGTACTGTGAATCCAGTAAATATGGCCGCATCTTAAAGAGACTCCCAGTCCCTGGAAAACATACAGTTTTCTGGCTCATTATGGTCTCATTTCATTGCAGTTATAGACAATTGAGAAGCTATCGGCCAAAGGACTATGTGCAAGTACTTATGAAACATCTTGGCTATCTAAAAAATGGGACTCCAAAGTTTGCTGCATCAGTGTAGTTATCTATCACTTATTGATGTCCGTTGTACTAAGTAATCTTCGAAGTTCTATATTAACGGATTATCGTGATCTTTACAGGTTGAGGATTTCACTGATCGGTCTCAATATGCTTCAAGGGTTGTTGGGAAAGAAGAAGTGAAACACATATAAAAGTGTATCCAACATACTAGCGAATATATTTCTACTTTTATCGATGGCCTTGTTGAAATACCCACATTAAAATTTCAGTTGTTTGGACGTGCTACCCCCTTTCAAGTCGGTTCTGAGACAAGGAACATTATAGAAGATGGATATACAACCACTCTTCCTTGTAGAGATATCAAGAAACCAGATCAAAGTAAACAAAGCTAGAAAGGAATTAGTCAGTTATACCTTCTGAACCAATCACGACAAAAATAAAATGGTCTATAGAAGGTTGGGAAGGATTAACTTTAGTGAGTTATGGACAATCAAAAGGAAAATGGTCTACTGAAGGTTGGGAAGAAGTATGTTCAGCGAGTTGGGGACAACCTAAGGAGGATAGTGGACCATCCGACTCTCCTTAGTCAAAAGGAAAATGGTCTACCAAAGGTTGGGGAAAAGAATCTTTAGTTAATTCGAGACAGTCAAATGGGGACAATGTACTACCAGACTCTATCTGGACAAAAAAGAAAAGATCATATGAAACCCGAGGTGAGACTTCTTCTTCTCAATGGTTGGGAAAATAAGACACAAAAAGTTGGCCCAAAAGAAAGCCCAACAATAAGTATGCACCTAAGGATAAGTGGTAAAAAATGCAGACATGAGGTTTAGGAGGAAGCTAAATTAACCATTTGGTTCTGGATTAAGTAGGTTGTGTGTATCTAGTTGAATCATCTGCAACAACTTTTTAACATTCTTGCTAGGACGTAGGGAGTATTTCTTATGAGCTAGGTAACGTACCCGTCGTCATCCTCTTATTCTTGTAATGGTTCATTAGGACATTTTGTACAGATCGACCTAGCAATTACTTTAGCAAGATGGAATGTGAACTACTCAATACACATTTAATTTTATGTTCCTTATGAACAACAAGGAATTGAAGGAAAATAAGATTCTCAATAAGCCAATTCTCTCTCTCTATGTCTCTCACTCTCTCGATCTAATTTACTATGAAAAATAGAGGACCTAGTAGATTTCATTCACGTTGTTAATAAATGTCTCAAATAAAAGTTACCCATTTTGATGTGTAGAGTTATTTGATACTTGTGCTGGCAATAGATAGCAAATGTTCGATAAAATAGTTCAAATGTGTGCTATCTCAACCCCACACCATCATTATAAAAAAAATCAACAGAGAAATACAGTCAATCAAAAAAGTTTAATCAAATTTCTATGACAGCACAAACTTGATTCCAATAAAAAACATACTGATAGAAACAATGTTTTTAAGTTGTACCTGAACTTAATTATTCTAGCCCTGTGCAGAAAGCATCTTGCATTCACCCAGGGTTTTCAAAATTTATTTAACAACATAGTTTGATATAATAATTATAAAAATCTAAATTTGGTCTACTCTAATAGTCTTAATATCATCGGCAATAGCTCTTGCATCCATTGAAATATCAGCAATCCCTCTTTTTGAAAATCCAGCACAATATAGCCCATTCTCTCCTTTCCAATTTATCAATGTGCCATCTTCAAGGAATATTGAGCTATAATCCTGCATACAAAAGAAAACAAATTGTACATTATTTGAGACAATGATGGTAAAATTAATAGTAAGCCAAATTAGTAACCACGAAAACTTATCAAGAAAAACTTATCCGCACACGATATTTCCAGGCAATTGGAAAATTTCAAAACTCAAATTTAGTATTAAAAAAAAAGAACATAGTGATAATTTTCGAAATGTACCTTTAGCCATTTGGCAACAATATTCTTGTATCCAGTAGCAAAAATGATTGCATCAAATTGATGTTCATCTCCATTGTCAAACACTACTGTATGTTCCTTTATTTCTAATATTCCAGGAAGTACCTAATAATCAATTGACCAAAAGTTATTTCACAAAAAAAACCAAGTGTTATTTCTTTTTATATAATAGATTATTAATGCATATTACATGAACTATTTAAACAAATATACTATATTAGCCAAAATTACTAAATGCTACCAATTTCGTAACTATAACAGTTCAACGGTTGCCCATGATAATGAACATGTATTTTTATTCTTCTTCATTAAATACTACTACTAGGTTCTTGGTAGTAATCAAATTTGGACTCGTGATGTGCGCCTAACCATACATCACATGTGTACTTTTACTATCAGACCAAAACACTCGAAAAAACTGAAGCGATCTGTTCTTCACATAATATTTCTCAAAATAGAATGAAACAAAATAAAGATAGTATCATACCTTAATCTGTCCAAGTTTAATCTTGTCAAAGGCACCAACATCTATTACTAGGGATCTACCTTTTTATATTATAACAGAAAGTGGGCCTTCTTTGGGTTGTGGTATTCCTAAATCTGCTAAATTTCCAAATTTAAATTTTGTGTACTTTGGAATTACAGTATCAACCAAAGATATTGGTAAATATTTTATCAACAACATTGCAGTATACACCATCTCCCATGTTAGAACATGAATTTGCAAAAACATTAGGATAAGATATATTAAAGCTTTTAGAATTAACAACCATATTTATCAAATATATAATTGATTGTGCATGTGAAAAACCTACATAATCTAACTATAGAAAAGTAATAGTACTTTGGGAGAACATCATGAACTATAATGTAGATATTTGCAGGTGTAAGTTTCATAATTTGACGATAGATTAAAAAAGAAGTACAAAATCAGATCAATTTAACGTAATTGTATATAACTTGCAGTATTCAAAATTGGTAACTGAAATTACCAAGGGTTCTAAAAAAATAAATATATGTGAGTAATGCACGAAATATTATATTAAAAGAGAAACCTAAGTTTCATATACAGTTAGTGCAAATAATTTTTGGACTATCATTTATCAGTTATCTAACTGATATCTATAGACAAGTTTCTTCAAAATTATGAGATTCAAATTATTAAAAAGAAAAATATGTTATCTGTTCAACATGTGAAATAACGATGTATAAAATTGTTAATAAGAGAAACTTAGCAAAAATCAAGATTCTACTTATAAGAAAAAGAGACACTAGTTCTTTTTCTTCAAATTCTGTTCCTCAAAGCAAAAAAATATATGAGTTTTTTATACTTACACTAAACAACTTGTTACCTCTCCAAATCCTACTTTTCTTTTTTTCAAGATATAAGATACCTGATGAGACCTGAATTTAAATTTTTTAATTTTGTGCGATTTAGAAATGAAATAATGAGATATTTCTATGTTTTTAGGATATTCAAATATCTATTCCAAATTTTTGTATTTACAATAATCCAACACCATATTCCTTAATCACTTTCTAGTAAACCAATATTCCCTTTTTAAAGAACAACTGATTTCATTAAATCAACTTTGAATTCAGAATCGAGGTTGTTTTTGCAATTTTGTATAGTGCTTGGAGAGTATGTTTGTGAAATTTAACACAATTGACAAATCGGTGGAAATTATTGGAGGTGAAGCTAATTCAAAAATAATTTTTTAGATTAGAAATACCACAAAGGTATATATGACTGGATGGATGGTCAATAAAGTAGAATGAAAATCATGAGAAATCATGTTCATATTCCGTCTCTTTAACATAAGGGTATGACCTGGTGTTGATGGTCAAGAAACCCATACCCAATATCATTTTGAATTGAGTTACAACATTACAAATGCTAGTAAAAAGTAATAGGTACCATGCCAAATAGTTGATGTACAAATAAACTGATCGAACACCACCATTTAATAATTTTTATAACAGACACAAACCTACTTACATGTAAACAAATAACGATAAAAGTAAAGATAAGGCATAAAGAGATAGAGAGATTTATTGGACTTATGACAACAATTGATGTGTGACTTTCATAATTTGAAAGATCAAAAGCTATTTCCATCCCAGAATTTCCTGATCCAACGACCAATACCTTTTTATCCTTATATTTTTCACCAGATCTATAATCACTTGAACGGATTATTTCGCCTTTGAAATTTTCTATCCCTATCATTTTTGTAATATAACCTTCGTTATTTTCTCCGGTAGCCAAAATCAACAAATCACTAGCATACATTTCAATTTCTCTGCTAGTCAAATTTCTTGATTTGACATTCCATTTCTTTTCCCCACTATTGTAAAAGGCTGATTCAACTCAAGTTTGAAATTTTGGCTTGATGTTGAAATGCTCAACATACTCATCTAAGTATTGAATAAATTCTTTTTTCGGCATATACTTAGGTGATGAAGTTGTATGTGGCATAAACGGCAATGAACAAAAGTCCTTTGAAAGATGCAAATGACGTCTATCATAAATCTTTTTCTTCCACAAATAAGCACAACAATCTTGTTTTTCTAAAACAACTTTGTTTATGCCAAGTTTGTTTAAAGAGGTTGATACAACTATACCGGATGGTCCAACTCCAACCACAATAATGTCAATTTCTTCCTTTGTGAAATTAGCCATTGCAAAAAAATTCAGAAAATTAAAGAGAAGTTTTTTTTTTGAGATTGTTGAAAAGAAAAGTGCAACAAGATTTCAAGAAAGGATATTTAGACAATGAGGTATGTATATATGGTCTTCAAACAGGATAATATGATATGTATTATTTTTTTGCTTTTTTAAAGTGTAATAGAAAACAACAGTTACAAGTAAATGTAAAATTTTTATCATTAAAACAAAATTTGAGTTTTTTCTCAATTCTTTTGTAGATGTGAAAACATTTAATTGAAAGTTATCTTTAGCTTAAGCTAAACATGTCATATTCATTTTTCTATAAATGAACTTTGCAGTTTCAAAAAGAGACAAATTACAAAAATTTAATTGAATTTGACAGAAGTTTATTGACTGGCTAAAGTAAAAGTATATATTTTTTTGTCTTTTTATCTGTGTCTTAGATTTACACATAAACACTCAACTAATTAAATTATATTTAATAATTTAAATTAGCAAATTATTTTATTTGTTAAAAAAATTAGAATTAAGAAGAAAGTTGATTTTATGATATATTAAATAGAAAAAAAGCTTAAATATGACCTCAAATTTTGAGAAAAGGCTCAGCTATGCCATTAATTTGAGCTATTTCTCAAATGGAAATGACATATGTCACTCCCCGAGGCTACCCCCTTGACGTAAGCACATGACCTAAGATCACGAGTGGCCCCAAGCTAACCCTGAGCTGGTATATTATAATATACTAAGATAAACTGAAATAAGAGATACTGTGCGGAAGCCTTAAGTCATGAGATAAACTAAAATGATGGGGAAATACCCAATCTAAGTCTGAATATAAAAACTATGAATTTAATAACAACTGGAAGATCAAACTCTAGACCAAAAGTGAATCTAACTATGTTTGAATAAAAGCCGCTAACTGACAAGAGATGCTGGGAATGCCCCCAGCTAACTCTAGCAAAACTGAAACTGAAAGACTGAAAGTAAAATAAAACATGTTTATTGCCTCGGAGAATGATGACTCACCACTGAGGTTGAGGATTTCACTGATTGGTCTCAAAATGCTGCAAGGGTTGTTGGGGAAGCAGAAGTGTAATACATATACAAGTGTATCTAGTGTACTAGCGAATACATTTCTGCTTTTTTGGATGACCTTGTTGAAATACCCACATTAAAATTCAGTTGTTTGGACGTGCTACCTCCTTTCAAGATGGTTCTGAGTCAAGTAACATTATAGAAAATGGAAATACAACCACTCTTCCTTATAGAGATATTAAGAAGCCATATCAAAGTAAAGAAAGCTAAAAAGGAATTTAGTCAGCTATACCTTCTGAACCTATCACGACAAAAAGAAAATGCTATATCGAAGGTTGGGAAGGATTAACTTCAGTGAGCTGTGGACAGTGAAAAGGAAAATGGTCTACTGAAGGATGGGAAGGAGTACGTTCAGCGAGTTGGGAAAACCCTAAGGAGGATGGTGGAACACCCGACTCTACTTGGTCAAAAGGAAAATGGTCTACTAAAGGTTGGGGAAAAACATCTTTAGCGAATTGGGGACAGTCAAATTGGGACAATGTACAACCATACTCAATCAGGACAAAAAGGAAAAGATCAGATGAAAAACTTCTTCTTCTCAGTGGTTGGGAAAATTAGACACAAAATGTTGGCCCAAAAGAAAGCACAACAATAAGCATGCACCTAAGGCTAAGTTGTCAAAATACAGACATTAGGTTTGGGAAGAAGCTAAATTAACCATTTGGTTCTGGATTATGTAGGTTGTGTGTATCTGGTTGAATCATCTGCAACAACTTTTACATTCTTGCTAGGACGTAGGGAGTATTTCTTATGAGCTCGGTAACTTACCCATCATCATCCTCTTATTCTTGTAATGGTTCGTTAGGACATTTTGTACAGATCGATCTAGAAATGACCTTAGCAAGATGAAATGTTAACTGATCAATGTACATTTAATTTTATGTACCTTATGAACATCAACGAATTGAAGGAAAAACAAATTCTCTAGAATCCAATTCTCTCTCTATCTCTCTCTCTATGTCTCTCTCTCTCTCCAGATCTACTTTATTATGAAAAATAAAAACATAATAGATTTCATTCAGGTTGTTAATAAATGTCTCAAATAAGAGTTACCCAATTTGATGTGTATAGTTATTCGATACCTGTGCTGGCAAGATATAGCAAATGTTCGATATAATAGTCGAAATGTGTGCGATCTAAACCCCACACCATTATTATAAAAAAAAATCAACAAAGAAAGCCAATCAGTGAGAAAAGTTTAATCAAACTTCTATGACACTATAAACTTGATTCCAATAAAAAACATACTAAAAAAAACAATGTTTTTAAGTTCTAGATTAACTTAACAAGTCAAGCCCGCTGTAGAAAGCATCCTACATTCACACAGGGTTTAGAAACT